TTTTTTTTTTTTTTTTTTGCTTTATAAGTTTTTTTTTTTGTTAAAAAAAAATAGTAGTTAGTATTTATTTTATTTATGTTGCTTATTTCTCCATGAAAAAAGGCTGGAGATATTGGAAGTAGTGGAAGGAAGTAGTTTTTAGGGGGTGGAATAATAGGAGTGGAAGGAATGGTGGAGTGCTTGCTGATTTATAGTAGAAATGAGTAAAAATTTTATTATATAAGGAAAATGGTGCAAGTTCTAAGGACACCCCAAAAGGATGAGAAGTCTTATTGCTGATGATAGAGGCGTGTGAAATTAAAACCACACATGACAAAGAGCCTGATTTTGTGATGTTAAATGAAACTATAGTGCCACCATCCGCCAATATTGGAGCTGAAAATTCATGGTTCCTAGATACTGGAGCAAACAACCACATGCCAAGAGAAAGGAGGGTGTTTCGTGAGCTCGACACACATCTGTTATTGGAAAGGTACGCTTCGGTGATAACTTTGTAATAGACATTTGTGGTCGAGAAATAGTACTCTTTAAATGCAAAACTGATGAGCACTTAATCTTATCCAAGTCTATTACATACCTAAACTGAAAAGCAATATTTTAAGTTTGGGACAACTGGATGAGAGTGGAAATAAAATTGTCATAGAGGACAGTGTGATGAAGATATATGACAAGGCTAGGAGCGTGATTATTATGGTGACCAGACAATCCAATAGATTGTATGTAGCAAAGTTGAAGCTTGCGGATCAAGTGTGTTTAATGACAAATATCAGTAACGGTGGTTGGCATGCGAGGTATGGACACCTGAATTTTCACTCTTTACAGAAATAAATGACAAAAGAATGGTTGAAACACTGGTGGTATTTAAAAAGTTCAAGATCAATGTGGAGGTAGAGAAAGGCAAGAAGATTAAGAGCTTTAGAACGGACCGTGGAGGAGAGTTCATATCTACTGCTTTTAAAGACTATTGCGAGAATGAAGGCATGAAAAGACTTCTTACTGCACCATTTTCACCACAGCAAAATGGCGTAGTAGAAAGGCGTAATCGAACGGTGGTAGAGATGACCAGATGTATGTTAAAGAGCAAAGAGATGCCTGCAAAATTTTGGGAAGAAGCTATCAAAACTACCGTGTATATTCTGAACAAATCGCCAACAAAAGGAGTTGCATATGGTACACCGTATCAAGCTTGGTTTGACAAGATACCAAAGGTTCATCACTTTAAAATTTTCGGGTGTCTTGCTCATGCCAAGAATATTAGTTTATTTAATCTTGTATTATTCATTTGTATTTACTGTTCGTGTTTCAAATTATGTCAGTTAAGGGAAGTTTAGCCGTTAAGGGAAGTTATTAGCAGTTATTAATGTGTTTCAAATTATGTTAGTTTATTTATATATGTACTGTGTAACAAGTTGAATAAAATGAGTAAGTTGGTTTTGTTTATTTTATAAATTATTTTCTCTCTTAGTTGTATTAGTGTTTCTGACAATTGGTATCAGAGCTTGGTTACATGCCAAAGATCATGCCGAGAAATAATAACAACACTGGAGAGAGAGAAGAGTCGTCGCAGTCTGCAACAAAGGAAGGTCTGGTAACACTCCAATACCCGACGTTATCGAGAACCAACTACTCAGCATGGGCTATGAAGATGAAAGTCTATTTGCGTGCTCAAGGGGTGTGGGACGCAATCGAATCAACTGAGTCTCTGGATAGTCTTGATGAAAGGAAGGATCAAATGGCCTTAGCAGCTATATATCAAGCAATCCCTGAGGAGATGTTTTTGTTAGCAGAGAAAGAGACAACAAAAGGAGCATGGCAGACGTTAAAAACTATTCATGTCGGTGCTGAACGTGTAAAGGAGGCAAAGATCCAAACTCTGAAGACTGAGTTTGAAATTATGAATATGAAGGAGTCCGAGACTATTGATGATTATGCAGCAAGGTTGACAGAAGTTGTTAATAAAATACGTACTTTTGGAGACAAGTTTGAAGAGGCATACTTGGTGAAAAAATTTCTCTGCTCAGTACCTCTTAAGTTTCTTCATATTTGTTAAGGATAGTTGACCGTTCATTATAAGGCAAATATCTAGATATTTGCCTTACATTACGGCTTACCATATTTGCTCTTTTATTAAAGGCAAATATATTGTATTCGTTTATTATTCTTTCCTTTTATTGTTATTTCCATATTATTTGTAATTTACCATATTTTTGTATTCTATAAATGATTATAAATAAGAGAACTCTCGCCACCATTTAGGTGTGGTGGATTCAGCAAACATTTACATGGTATCAGAGCCCTTTTGGTTTAACAACCCTGATCATTTCTTCTCTATGGCTTCCGAATCTTTTTATCATCTTCTTCCTTTCAATACTCTAATCCATATGATCACCATCAAACTTTCTTCCTCCAATTATCTTCTTTGGAAAAGCCAACTTCTCCCTCTCCTTGAGAGTCAAGACATGCTGGGCTACGTTGATGGAACTATGGTTCCACCATTTCGCTTTGAACCAGAAACCTCCTCAACACTCAACCCTAAATATTTGGCATGGAGAGCAGTCGATCAACGACTTCTCTGTCTCCTACTCTCCTTTCTCACTGAGGAAGCCATGGTTGTTGTCATTGGTCTCTCTACTGCACATGATGTTTGGCTTGCATTGGAAACTACGTTCAGCCATCAGTTGAAAGTTCGTGAACTGAGACTCAAGGATGACTTGCAGTTGATGAAACGTGACACCAAACCTGTTGCTGAGTATGCCCATGCCTTCAAAAAAATTTGTGACCAACTTCATGCCATTGGCAGACCCATCGAAGACGTTGATAAAGTGCACTGGTTCCTTCGTGGACCCGGCACCGAATTTTCAGCTTTTTCTACTGCTCAGATGGCTCTCACCCCTATCCCCTGTTTTGCAGATTTAGTCTGTAAAGCTGAAAGTTTTGAGTTATTCCAGCGCTCCCTTGAGTCCTTTGACTCCACTCCTACGGCATTCATAGCCACTAATCGTGGTAGCACCCATGGAAGCCACCCTTCTTCCTTTACCAACCAGCGAGGTCGTTCTTATTCTCACAAAAACAACTCTTCTAATCGAGGACAAACCCACTCAAGTCAGGGTCGTCAACCACTTCACTGCCAAATATACCACAAAGAGGGCCATTATGTTGATCGCTGCAACCAACGGTATGTTCGACCTGATTCTTCTCATGCTCACCTTGCTGAAGCCTTTAACACGTCATGTTCTATTGCTGGACCCGATGCTGCTGATTGGTTTCTGGACACTGGAGCTTCAGCCCATATGACTGCTGACCCATCTATTCTGGATCAGTCTAAAATTACACGGGTAAGGACTCTGTGATCGTAGGAAACGGTGCATCCCTACCCATTACCCACACCGGTACTCTTTCTCCTGTTCCAAATATTCACTTATTAGATGTCTTGGTTGTCCCTCACCTCACTAAAAATATTCTTTCCATAAGTAAATTAATGTCTGATTTTCCTCTCTCCGTTACATTTACTAATAATCTTATTACTATCCAGAATCGTCAAACAGGAAGGGTGGTGGTAACCGGTAAAAGAGATGGAGGGCTATATGTGCTGGAGCGCGGCAACTCTGCTTTTATTTCAGCCCTTAGAAACAAATCTTTACGTGCTTCATATGATTTATGGCATGCTAGTCTGGGTCATGTGAATCATTCTGTTATTTCTTTTTTAAATAGAAAAGGTCATCTTTCTCTTACGTCTTTATTGCCTTCTTCATCATTATGTAATACTTGTTAGCTTGCGAAAAGTCATCGATTGCCTTATTTCCCGCAATAAACGTAGGTCATCTCATGTGTTAGATATTATTCATTGTGATCTTTGGGGTCCTTCTCCCATCAAATCAAATTCGGGTTTTCTTTATTATGTTCTTTTTATTGTTGATTATTCTTGATTCCCTTGGCTTTATCCTCTAAAATTTAAATCTGATTTTTTTGATATTTTTCTTCAATTTGAAAAATTTGTGGAAAATCAATATTCTTCTCGTATCAAGGTATTTCAAAGCGATGGTGGTACCGAATCTTTATCCTCTAAAATTTAAATCTGATTTTTTTGATATTTTTCTTCAATTTGAAAAATTTGTGGAAAATCAATATTCTTCTCGTATCAAGGTATTTCAAAGCGATGGTGGTACCGAATTTACTAGTACTTGTTTCAAAACTCATTTACGTAATTCTGGCATCCACCATCAACTCTCTTGTCCATATACACCCGCTCAAAATGGTCGTGCTGAGAGAAAACATCGTCATGTGGCTGAGACTGGCTTGACCCTTCTCTTTCACTCTCATCTTTCTCCTCGTTTTTGAGTTGACGCCTTCAGCACTGCAG